TCAAGACAATGGCTGACTCTTTGGCAGCCATTAATTCGCCCGTTAGTAACCGAGAACTCATTGAGTATACTATATTGGGACTTGGGCCAGATTATGCGTCAGTTCTGTCCACACTTTCCTACATTCCAGGCTTGCTTACCTTTGATCAGTTGGGACCAATTCTCACGCAACAGGAGCAGCGTGATATATACTTCCGAGTGCAGTCTTCCACACCTTCCAGTCACCAAGCTTTTACGGCAACGGGGCAGACTGCCTCCCCTATGTCCCAGCCTCGTACTTCTGGTCGAGGGGGTGGACAGTGGCGTGGCGGGGGGCGTGGCAATAGAGGGCAGCGCGGTAGGGGGCAGCGAGGACGTGGACGTGGTCATGGTTATTTTGGACCCTTGCCGGGTCAACATCCTGGACAGTTTCTTCAGCCGCGAGGTGCTGATATTTATGGGGGGCTAGGACAGCATAACTCGGGTACATCTGGTGCAGGTATGGGTAATGTCCCTCTAGCTCATTCTTGTACGGTTCCTTTTTATACTCATGGTACTGATACTGTCAGTACAGGTTCTCCATCAGTTGATAATTCATATCAATCCCCCGCTCCCCCCACTGTTTGTCAATTGTGTTTCACTTCGGGTCATTCGGCCTTATCATGTTCCAAATTTACCAACGCCACTACCCCGGCACTTGCTGCATTGTCTACCGGTGAAACAAACGAGTCAGTGTGGTATCCAGATTCTGGTGCCTCCACTCACATGACCCCGAATGAAGGTATTTTGTCTTCTAAATCGATGACTCATATCCCCACTAGTGTGCAGGTTGCTAATGGTACTATTTTATCTGTGTCTAAAATTGGCAATATTAATTTATCTACCACTGGTCGCCCGCTTAATTTAAATTCTGTTTATCATGTCCCACATTTAAAATATAATTTATTATCTGTTCAAAAATTGTGCGAGGACAATGATTGCACTGTTATTTTTAACAAAAACTCTTTTTATGTTAAGGACAATCACACGGGGGCAACTCTACTCCAGGCTTTCAGTAAGGATAGGACCTACCCTTTTACTGCCCCTAGGTTGCCACTAGCACTCTTCACCTCGTCTGCACCTGGTCCAGTATGGCACAAGCGTTTGGGTCATTGTGGTGATAGCGTTTTGGCATATCTTCGGCGCACAAATTTAATTTCTAGTACTAGTAATTTTTATCATTCTTGTAATTCTTGCCGGCTTGGGAAGTCCCACCGATTACCTTTTAAGGATGTTTTTCATAAATCTACTTCACCATTACAATTAATACATTCTGATGTTTGGCAGTCCCCTGTTTTATCCCATCTTGGTTTTAAATATTATGTGTGCTTTATTGATGATTTTTCTAGATTTACCTGGATTTATCCTATGCATCGCAAATCTGAAGTCTTTAATCATTTTTGCAATTTTCAAAACTTAGTAGAAAATCTTCTGGACTGCAAAATTAAATACTTCCAAAGTGATGGTGGTGGTGAGTTTGATAATCATCATTTTCATAACCATTTTCTTAAATGTGGCATAATTTTTCAAAAATCCTGTCCAGATACTCCCGCTCAGAATGGCGTGGCCGAAAGAAAACACCGTCACCTTTTGGAATTAACTCGTACTATGCTTATAGAAGCTCATATTCCTGCACAGTTTTGGGTTGATGCCCTTTATACTGCCACTTATATCATTAATCGGCTTCCTACGCCGATTTTACATGGTCTTAGTCCGTATCAGAAAATTTTTCAAAAATCTCCGGACATAATTTTTTGCGTGTTTTTGGGTGTGCTTGTTTTCCGAATAAAATTGCCAACTCCGCTAATAAGCTATCACCGCGATCTATACCTTGTGTTTTTATTGGCTATGCACCTAGCTACAAAGGGTATCGTTGCCTTGACCCTATCACTGGCCGGGTTCACATAAGTCGGGACGTAATTTTTCATGAAGATACCTTTCCCTATTCTACTTTTCCACGTCCGACCCAAACCTCTCCAAATACTTTACTTCCATCTCACCCTACAAATGTTTCACCCAATTCCATTAGGAATAAATATTCCTCCCTGGATATCCCTTCCACCGTAGTGTCACACATCCAGACGAGCCAATTTACCAATCCCTTATCTCCAGATTCGTCCATACCCTTAGTCAGCCCGCTGGACAGTACCCCGTCACACAATCCGTCCAGTGCACCCACTTCTCCAGTCAGCCCACTATCGTCCAGCACATCCCAGTCCAGCTCGTCTTCTTCACCTTCCCAGTGCAGCCCTCCACCTTCACCTACCTTGTCCAGTCCGCCAGTCCCTCAAAATATACATCCTATGCGCACACGTGCAAAAGATGGTATTTTTAAACCCAAACACATTCTCTCTCTTAACACAGTAGAGTGCCCCCCGGATCCGACATGTTTTTCACAAGCTAATAAATCTTTAAATTGGCGGGCAGCCATGGCGGACGAATTTAATGCTCTCATTGCTAATAAAACTTGGGATTTAGTACCTTGTGATCACACTAAAAATGTGGTTGGTTGTAAATGGATTTATAAAACAAAGTACAAATCTGACGGGTCGGTTGAGCGTCACAAAGCTCGTTTGGTAGCCCAAGGGTTTAATCAGCAAGCTGGAGTTGATTTCTCTGAAACATTTAGTCCTGTTGTTAAACCCACGACTGTTCGTCTTTTATTGTCTCTTGCTACGTCTTTTGGTTGGGGGGTTCGTCAGCTTGATGTTAAAAATGCTTTCTTGCATGGTAATCTAACCGAGGAGGTATACATGCGTCAGCCACCGGGCTTTATTCATCCTTCTTTTCCGCATCATATATGTCGTCTTCGTAAAGCCCTATATGGTCTCAAACAAGCTCCTCGGGCTTGGTTTCATCGTTTCAGTGGGTTTCTGCTGAGTCAAGGTTTTTCTCAGAGTAAGTCTGATTCCTCTATGTTTATTTATCGTTGTGGCTCAAAGATTCTTTATATTTTGCTATATGTTGATGACATTCTCATTACTGGTAGTTCATCATCTCTAGTTACATCTTTTATTTCCCAACTTTCTCACACGTTTGCTATGAAAGATTTAGGGGAAATTCATTATTTCTTGGGTATCCAGGCACTCCGCACGCCCAAAGGTATTTTCTTATCTCAGCAAAAGTATATTTCTGATCTCTTACGCCGTTTTCACCTTCATACTGTCAAACCGGTTCGCACTCCTCTTCCCTCTCGCACTACCTTATCATTGACTGGTGGTGAACTTCTTGCTGATGGTACTGAGTACCGTAGTATGGTTGGAGCCTTACAATACTTGACTCTTACTAGACCGGATATTACCTATGTTGTTCATCTGGTGTCTCAATTTATGCATGCTCCACGCACTACTCACTTATTAGCTGTCAAGCGTATTTACCGATGTTTGCAGGGCACTATCACGGAAGGGCTATGGCTACGCAAGGGGGGTAATCCTTCTCTCATTATTGCATATTCGGATGCTGATTGGGCTGGTTGCCCCGATAGCTGTCGCTCCACCACCGGTTATGCCATTTTTTTGGGGGATAATTTAGTTTCTTGGCGATCCAAAAAGCAGCCCACAGTCTCTAAATCATCCACTGAAGCAGAATATCGTGCAGTGGCGTACACAGTTCAAGACACTTTGTTTATTCGCTCTCTCCTCGCTGATATGGGTTTTTATATTCCTCACCCTGTCCAACTTTATTGTGACAATGTTTCTGCCTCTTATTTAGCAGTTAATCCCATTCAGCATGATCGGAGCAAGCACATTAAAATTGATTATCATTTTGTTCGTGAGAGGGTAGCTCATGGTGATCTTGTGGTGAAATACATCCCCACTCAATTTTAGTTAGCTGATATTTTTACCAAGAATTTATCTAGTTAGCGGTTTGAATTTTTAAAATCCAATCTGCGTGTTTTGCCATCTGCACAGATTGAGGGGGTGTAATAGAATATTATAAGGATATAATTGTAATTGTTACTCTTATTATCTCATATAAATATATGCATACGGCTGCCTGCTAGGTCAAGCCTTATTCTCATAACTTTAGTTGTTCATAATTGCTAGTTCGGATTATTTTTATAGACACTTTCAGTAGAGATTATTATTGTAGAATCCCTAATTGTATGGATTATTCTTATTCAAATCACTATAGTCACCCTACCCAAGGTTGTTAAAATCGTATTTTTGAATCGAATCGGTAGATGTTTTTGAAAATCGAATCGTAAAATCGAATCGCAAATTGTAAGATTTTATCAAACATATTTTAATAATTATAAAATAAATAAATATTAAAATTAAGTTGCAAGTTAATGGTATTATGTCATTTTATTACATACCACTATACCTACAAGGTCAAAAACAAGATTTATAAACTATTTTTATATTGTAAATAGAGTGAATAATAACATTAAACATATGTAAAACATAAAAATAATTAAATAACACAAGAATCCATTACTTTTTTAAATATACTATTGATGTTATTATTATTGAAATTTTGTATCAATGTGTAGTAGTTATTTTTAATATATTTGAACCATTTTCACTAAAAAAAAACTTATTCCGATTTTGCTACGATTTTGATACGATTTTATACAATTCTACACGATTTTTGTACGATTTTGTTACGATTTTGTACGATTTTATGATTTTACGATTTTACCTGCGATTTGAATCGATTTATTATTGTAGAATCGTAAAATCGTACGATTTTACGATTTGAATCTAGATTTTAACAACCTTGACCCTACCTAAAAGAATGGACATTGAAGAGATACGAGTCAGGATGTTTTAATGTGGTCTGCTTTCAGTTCCAGACCTGACCAAACAAATTTAATTAGACCAGATCAGACCATGCTTTTATAATTATAAAATATACAAAGAGCAGACATAGCAGACCAGCAAACTTCAGTCCAAGTAAAAACATCCTCTTATGACAATTTTTGGGCCTTTTGATATTCGAAGTATTTAGATTGGGCCGAACAGCCTTTTGAAACTGCGAAGAAAGAACTTTGAGAACAAACAGAAAAAGCGGCCCACAGTGTGTTCGCCACCGATTCAACGTTCGTCGAACTTCTTATTCACGCATGTCGTAGCTCCCGAAAATGGCTGCCGCCTGTATACGAAGACTCGCCTCGCATATCTCCCGGAATCCCTTCCCCACCCACTCTTTTGGAGCAACCACCGTCACCCGTTCTTCCGCCTCCTTTTCCACCTCCTCACCGCGGACTTCTTCCGCCAAGGTGTCCGACCGGATCGTGAATCTCTTTGCAATCGATCCCGATGGCCAGAAGCGCAACGTGATCGGACTCTCCGGCCAGACACTTCTCAAGGCTCTGACCAACCATGGATTAATTGACCCGGCTTCCCACCGTCTCGAAGATATCGATGCCTGCTCTGCTGAGTGCGAGGTCCACATTGCGCAGGAGTGGCTCGAGAAGCTTCCACCGCCTACTTACGATGAACGGTACGTTCTCAAGAGGAACTCTAGGAATAAGGTTTTGAACAAGCACTCCAGACTCGGATGCCAGGTCGTCCTCACTCAGGAGCATCAGGGTATGGTCGTCGCTGTCCCTGAGCAAAAGCCTTGGGATACTCCTTAAAGGAGTGAAGCTCTGCAAGGTTTGTCGTCTTGAAATTGTATTGTTTAGCTCTTAATTTGAATAATATGTAAACATTGCAAGGCACCTGAAAATATTATCCTTTCATTGTGACTTTCTGGAAATTTCCTGGAACTCATTTATTTCTATTTGCTAAGCCTTTTTTTTGCTATACTAGTTCACAGTGCGAAATTATTCACTTTCCTATGCTCCTGATATCATACTGTAAGTCTGTAATGGTATTAATTGGTGCTTAAATCTTAATTAGCTTCACTGTGTGAACAGATGAACCTTATTCGAAAAACTGGAAAAAAGAACCAGCCTTTACTAGTAGTTTTAATACTAACTAGATATTAACTAAGATCTGAGACTCTGAGGATCCTCAATTGATTGTGGGATCAATGTGGGCTTTAAGTCTGAGAGTGTGGAAATCTTGGCCATCCAATCAAAATTAGAAGCCGTGCAGATCGGGGGAGACAAGCACAGAGAAATTCAATCCAAATTAATGTCATATGGTGTAAGATCCCAATAAGTTTGTGGTTCTTTACTTTCTCAAAGTTGAGCCTTAGAGATATGAGTTTGAAATTATCCTAAATAAATGGTTTACAGATATCTGGTCCTTGTTTGGATGCTTCCTTTTGTTTTACACCTCAGCAGCTCAGCTTTTGCTTGTTTCTTCTTTGGCATTGTGGTGTTTTTTGTTCTTCACTGTAATATGCAGCATAGTAAATCTATGCTTTGGTCATTCCTATTCAGTTTGTCTTTAAGTAGCATTCAACTATCGTAATTTCGTATGTATATGAGTTGTTTATATTTATTTACAACTTGTTTCATCTCAAGGCAAACGCGGTTTGTAGCTGTGAGTATGTATTCATCAACTACTTTTTTTTAATTGGAGACATGTTTTATAAGACATCATATCTGTATGCTCTTACTCCGCCATTGAAGCACAAAACTCGCAGCTGCCAAAGAAATGCATTATTATCTAATTCTCTCTATGGTGCACTCGTTAGTGTAATATTGGCGATATTTATAAACAAGGCTGTGTATGATCCTTCATTTTATGCATATTAATAATGCCAGATTAATCTAAAAAAAAGGTATGCATCAACTACTTGTATATATGTGTTTTATTTTTATGTAATACATAGTAGTTAGATTGGTGTTAATCAGTTCATGATTACTGATGAGCTAAAGGGTTCCCAGTTGGATATGGCCTCAAGGAATTGGTATATACAAGTTCCCTTCCCACCATAAGTTTCCGTCTTTAATTTTGTAAGGGCAGAAATACCTGTCATAAGTTTAAAGTGGCCTTGAGTCCTTGACAATGCAGTGTCGACCTTCTGACTTTTCATTTAGTGGCTTTCAGACTTTTGTGATATTAAATCAAGCTTCACAAGCCAAGTGGTTCCAGCTTGCTTTTGAGCAGAGCTCAATTTCGGAAAGACAGGTTTGTCGAGGTCAGGTTTAGAACTTGCAGTGTGCTTCGTCTCGATTACCCACTTCCATTGCAAAGAGGCCAACAATACTCGTATTCCCAAGCTTACCAGGATTAATTTAACATGGGAGTTGGTTACTGCAAAGCACCCACAACCATGAAAAAAACTCTTTTTAGTGTCGTGTCTTGTCTATGAGGCTTTCCCACTTTTCCTTGAAAGAAGGTTTGGTAACAAGGTTTGAGTAAGGCCTGCATGGCTGAATCCCTTAGGGTATGTTTGGGAGTTCAGCGAAGAGGGGGGAGGCTTTACTGTTTACAGGTTAATTATCGGAGGGGAAGGGGAAGGGGAGGATATCCTTCTTGTTTGGGAGTCACAAATTTGAATAAAGAGGGGCTAAGAAGTAACTATAATTAAAATCCCTTGAAATATACGACGAATTTAAATAGTTAAATTTATATTCATTTTTAATTAAGTTAAAGTTATCATTTAATTATTCATCCTTCAAAATGCTCCAATTTGGGGAAACTTAAAAATTGAGCATTTGAAGGATTTTGAAGGATCACGAGAACATTCTAAAATCATTCCTTCCATTTTTCTGAACTCCTAAAAACAAAATATGAGATGTCATAAACTCTCCTAACCCTTCCTCTCTCATCCAAAACACAACTCCCAAACATACCCTTAATGTGCATAGACTTTCTAAGTTGCATACTACTAGCTAGGCATAGAGCCGGGTCGGGCCCGGGCCTAGGCCTGGTCGGGCCTTTTTGTGTTTGGGGGAAGGCCCGGGACCGGCCCGGGTTGCCACCGGGTCCGGGCCTCGGGCCACTTTGTATTTTTTACCCTTTATCTAATTAACCCCCCCCCCCCCCCAACCCCCCCAAATCACCCCAAATGGCCCAAAATACCCAGCCCAACTCGGGTTTTAAAAACAAATTGCAAAAAAAAAAATAATGCCCGAACCGGGCCCGATCGGGCCGGTTCCATATTCAGCTGACCCGAGCCCGCCCTTCCCTAACTAGTGGGCCGAGCCTACCCGAACCGGACTGTAGCGGGTCACCGGGCCGAGCCGGGCCCAAACAGTACCGTTCCCGGGCCGGTTTCAGGCTGGGCGGCCCGACCCGAGTCCAAGACTACTACTAGCATATTAAAAAAAGCTAATCCCCGTCTCATTAAACTTTGGCAGCTTTATTTAGTTGTTCCAAGAAATTTTCTTCTTCCCTTATGCCTAATGCACCAAATTTATACTAGTATTCGTATATAGTACCACCGGCTATACGGTGAGCACCGTACAGCCGGCCCAGTAACAAGCCCAAGGGAAAAATAGGAAATAAATTCGGTGGCAGTTTTGTAATTAATGTAAAAATCACGATTTCTGTTAAATGAGCATTATTGTAGTGTTAATGAGCAATAGTCCAATTTTAATGAGAATTAAGCGTACAATAATGAGCACCATATGTTAGTACAAGAAGCCTGATATCACAATTAAAAAACGGTGGCATTTTTGTAATATCAGTGAAAATCGTGATTTTCGATAGATGAGCATTGACACACTTTTAATGAGCATCAGACGTATTCTATTGAGCATCAAGAATCGAATAATGAGTAATGTAATATCGATTTCATATATTGTAATTCACTTTCTTTTCCTTATTTTTTCTTTTATAAAAACTCATTAATTATATTTCTCCAAAACAAGAACTCATTAATTATATCTATAATCAATTCCTATAAATTTTGATATGCGAATCTAATGTAATACGGAGTATGATACTTTTGAAATATGCATTGTTATGACATTTTTAAAATGAGCATAACATGAGTAGCAATTGAGCATATGTAACTTACAAAATGAGCATAAATATGAAAATAATAAAAGATTTGTTAGTTAGACGTCACGACATTTTCATTGCGCATCAAACCTCCTATATTGAGATGAAAATAACGGTTTATATTAAATGAGCATTAATGAACTTTTAATTAGCACTGGACATATTCTGTTGATTATTAGGAGTCTAATATTGAGTATCGTAATCTCTGCTTCATATCTTCTAATTCACTTTCTTTTTTCTTTTCTTTTATAGAAACTTATTAAATTATATCTACTATCAATTCGTATGAAGTTCACTGTGTGAATCTAATGTATATGATACTTTTTTTGTAACTAATAGGCTTATATTGATAATAAAACACTCTGCAAGGGACAATAATGATAAAATAATTAAGCACTTCTGACCACCGACCCTCGAACCAGCTGGAGAATCAATCACCTTAGAGAAAACAATGTGATTCGTTGATCCTATCATGGGTCTACATGAGCCAAGTGTGGCCAGAGTAAAAACCTCATCACCCCCACCAAGTGCAATAGTCTGGAAGAACAGAATCACAATAATTGAAAGGAAAAAATACTGAGAACATAAAGAAAACTCAAAAAATAAGCAATGCGTGGAAATAAAAAATCAGCCTGAAGCAAAGGAACGAGCACCAGCAGCCGTTCCCGACTGAAACCTTCTTCAAAGAATATGGAGGGTCAAGGCGTCTGAACCCGCCCCCTCCCCGTTTTTTGGGTCCAGAATCATAGTCTCACCCTCTTCTCCTGCTCCGCTAGACTCTTCCCAGGTGCACCTACGCTTTGGTTCTCCACTCTTGTCCTCCAAAGCTGCTGTGTCCGCATTCTCTTCTCCGGTCTTTGAGTTACTTGTTGAAGAGATGTTCCAACCTTTCCTGCCCGGACCCGAACTGCCTCCCTCCTCGCGGGCTGCCCTGCTTTCCTCCCCAGGTCCGTCTGAGATGATCCACTTATTTCCTCGCTCCAATCGTGCCTTCCCCCCTCTTTCAGCTCGTAGACCGACCCCATATGGCATGATGGTGCCCGCAACGTCCTTCTCATACACTAGGGGGCAAAACCTGTCAGAATGTCCTATGATACCACAAAAAAGCATAAATTAGGCAACTTCGCATATTTAAAACCAACCCAATGCCCTTTGCCTTGTCCCTTACTGAGCGTGGTCCCAACCTTTAGGGGTTTTCCCACATCCAAACAAGCCCTAACCCTCATATACAGCTTTCACTTTTTATGAAACTGAGGTTTTTTCCCAAGTAACAAACTTTCCAACAAAATTTCCAATTCTCCTAGCCACACCCACATTCATAAAATCATAAGGGATGTCACGGACCTGGACCCAGAATTCAGCCTCATTCAGAGGTACACGGAGTGGGACATCCCCGGGCTGCAGCGCCCGAAGGACTAGCAAATTCTGTTAAAAAATCCACGGTCCATCTTCAAGCACACGTTTCATGTCTATGGGGTGGTAAAAAGTAAACATATACCTTTTTTCGTCGATTTCCTTAATGGAGATACCCTTACCAGGCATCCAAAGTAAGGCCATAAGATCGCGAAGTGCCGAGAATTTCACCATCTTATTGGTGATCACAGTCTCTACCACCGGATACACTTCCTGCTTGACCGAGCCACCCTCCTCTTCAAGTGCCTCCTTCTCAAAGACCAGCTCTTCTTCCTGATTCCCAATCACCATGTCCCTGTATTTGTTAGCGATCTCCTCCATTTTCTATCCAAAGCTGGTCGAAACAGCCTACCCCCTGCACTCGAGACCAAAGCCGAAACCGAGAGTTGCTGCAATAAAAAACGAAAGAAAAATAGTGTGAACAAGCCCCAGTCCAAAATCTTCTCCCAGCCGATCACAACACCCAAGCCAACG